AAGAAACGCAAAAGGAAAACCTACGGATTGGAAAAGGCACCAATCTTGCGGCCACGGAGAACCAGAACGAACTTGTGGATGGCATGGGGGTTTTTCGCAGAGACTCTCATTACTATGATAAGGGGGGAAGCAAACGAAATGAGCGGTCATGGTCGATGGTCGAGGGTTTAGAGAAAGAGAGAATAAGAAGCGTTACGTTGTCACAGGCGCGTTTCTTCATCAAGACCCGCCTGTCGAACGTGTAAGTACGTACACTGGCACCACAACACGCCGCTGAAGCCTGCAGCAGTACTACTCGCGTGCAAGCCTCCGCCACATATACGACCCGTCCTCTCTTCCCAAGCGAAACCTCAGGATCAGCCAGCAGGCCGAGTCCAATGAACGCAGCAGCCGCAACCCGCAACCCCGACGATGAAGGAAGCTTGCGCAAGAAGCTTGTGCGGCTGCTTGTGCGGCTTCGCTGTTCGCGAAAGCGGGAATAAAGTGGGCTACCGAAGTTTCTGGAACTATGGCAAGGCCTCGTTACAAGCAAAGGCCCTTTTCGACCGCCTCTTTCTCCAAAAAAACGCCCAAGAAAGCCCTCCCACCCAACTCTGCTCGTCGTGCCCAAAAAATTCATGCCTGCTAATGTCCATGGACTGTCCTCCAATGATTTGGCCACTCTTTTCCGGTATGTCAGGCACCATGACGGAACTTGCTCTGCAAACTCACTTCCCTCTAGCTCCCAACCTACTACCCGTCGTCAAACCCTCCTGCGGGCCCAAGTTCCTCAGCTCCACGCCATTGCCCATCAACCCGCAGTCTTTGGGTTGAGCACCGGTACAGACGGTGAAGCGCTGGAGCTTAAATGGTCAGTTTCGCTCAGCAGTCGATGCCTGAGTAAACTGTTAAGGGTATTTCAGGACGCAAGCACTTGAACCAGCCTCGTCAGAAACGCCTCACCCACAACAAGATATTCTTGCAGCAGCTTCGAAAACGGACGGACCCAATCAAAAGCAACGGGTCTCAACCAAAGCTGAGCAAGAGGCGTCGCTTTCGAACGGTTATTAGAGTGCATACAACAGAACGAGAGCACTATCGCCTCTACGTTCAAGGTCTTCCATACGAAGGTTCGTTCAAGTTCCATTAGTGCTATCTATCTTGTGTCTGAAGCTGTTGAGCAGGTCGACGACATCTATATTACAACCTTCGCAAGATTCAAAACTTTTGCTTTCACAAGCGTATGGACCTCTTGGATCCTCGCCGAGTTTTGGGGCAATTCTGGGTCGAGGCAGACGATCGAGGGAACGAGGACATCCTACGCCGATGCATGGATATCCTCGATCAGACGCGGGACTCGTTGAAGGAGCTTCATGACTTCGCTGTGCAGGAGGAGGAATGGCTGCTAAGAAATACTGACGGGCCACCTCTTGTGTGGTACAAAAAAGTTCCGTAGACGATGAAAATCGCATACCTGACGTATTTTTACTTACTGCTGCCTTCATGTATTGGCTTTCTTGTTTCTCTTGTCATCTTAAATATGATTTCCGTCGCTCCAAAAACAATTGTGCCCTCCAAGCAGGACGCAAATCTCTTTTGTAGCCATTTTGACAGGCGCTTAGCTTTAGCGCCTGTCTCGGAGGGACCGGACTGGGCATCGGTAAAAGTCGGCAATAGCGTCACGGAAATCTATCAAGTCCACTTTGAACCTGAAATGGCTTGTATAAATTATAGAAAATACATGAAACCACTCAGCATGAGTGCCCCGTTCTAATAGTATGATTTCTATGGGACCTCCTGGTGCGGATACTGTGTAGTGTGTGGAAGGCACATCAAGCACTAATTAGTCGTATAGGAAAGCGTCACAAACTCCTTCTCTTGACCAGCTCTTTCACTACCTCCCACTGTCACTCCATGTCCGACGCCCTGTTAACCAAGAATACTACTGGGATTGATATGGCGTTACAAGCCCGACAGCGTCAGGGTGGTACGGCCTCAAGGTGCGTTTCCTACTCAAGCCTCTCAAATATGGCCTTATAGACCCCCACAGCTCCCTTCAACTAGGCGAGCGCTTCGACAATACCGATTATAAACACACATCGAGCTGGACATCTGCTGTCTGCCTCAGTTACGACAGTGATTCAAAGGCCTTCGTCGACATTCCGGTACTGTCGGGCGCTATCCGATGGGCCCTACAGGTTCGTCAGAGCGCCGTTCTTCCACCAACTCTTTGACAACCCGTTCCAAGGCAGCTTGCTCATATCAACGGCGACGCCCTACACGGACACCTTCAATAGGTCGTTACTGTCATGTCACCCTTGTATACACTTGCTCTTGCCCACCATGAGCCCGCCTACTAAGTATGCCACGGATGAGGCCCGTCGCCTTCGACAGCAAAAGTATCGAGAGAGTACACGGTGTGTTGGATTCCTAATAACGCTATTTACATGTGTGCTGAAGTTCGTCTCGAGTGGAAAACTCATGTCAAGCGCCTATGACCGGCAGAGACACAAGCGCAAGGCTGCTTGGCCGCTGAAATCGGTTGTAATCCCGCCTTTGGCCCTCGAGCACTCCTCTTTCCCAATCCCTTCAGAGGACCCCGAGTTTCAAGGCTATTTCGACGCCAAATACAACCCTCGCACAGATCCGACAATATCTTCTTGGATGGCTTTTCCTTTGGTGCCCGTGGCAGAGACGACGGACCCCTCCATAGATCGTTTTTCACCAGAGTATGGGGCCGAAACCAAGCGTATTGAGGTTGCCCTACATGCTATCAACCTGCGCGCAGAGGTCCGGGGGGAGCAGAGTACTGCTGCTGAAATGGGCGACCTGGAGGATGAGGGCGATGATGACGAGGTAACCAGGCTTCAAAATCTCCATTGTCAATGGGCCGTTAGCTACTGGAAACGCAGCTTCAGGTGGCTCGGCGTCTATGACCCGATTAAGATGCCACACCAGTTTGCCATTTTCATGCTTAACTGGCGCTGGGACGCGCGTCGGGCGGTTCGGAGATATCGTTGTGATTGGCGCCACTGCGAAGAATGATGTCGATGATTTCCGCGGACTACTGTAAATTTGTCTTGTCGCGTTCACGTAGAATTGATGACATTCATCGTGTTTACTGTTTGATGGTGCGACCCTTTTCTTTCGCCCTTCATCTCACTGCAAGCCGCCAGCGTGCTCGCCAATGCCGCCAACAACGCAAGGTGAGTTGATGGATTGTCTTTCTCGTTCCTTCTCCTTCTACCCCATGCCCGCGGGTTGGAGCGCAGCATGGCTCCCGTCCCTGGGTATCTGTTGCGCAAAGGCCCGCGGTTCTTCTTTCATCCTTTTTCGTCATTGATAAGCCACTGACGACGCCTTTGGCTTTAGTGCGCACCACCCGGTCAGGTCGGGAGTATAGCGGGTATGCTTTGGCCTTCTCGGCCCATCAACTAGCACAGCGCGCTGCAGAGGCGCTGGAGGAGGGGGACACGGAGGCTGAGATTGATGAAGCAACCGACGGTGAAGACGTGGCGCATGTTCAGCCGCCGCTTGTGGTCGAGAAGGAATGGGGCCTCGATAGGCAGCGGGCTCGACGACGGGATCGGCGAAAAGAAGCGCGTTCCGCCAAACCATATGAGGTTAAGCAGGTTGCTGCTCGTCATACCAGCACGGCTGCTAGGCCTTTGCTGCAGTTCTCATTGGAGTCTCCTTCCGCTCGAGAGCCTGTGGCCAGCTCCGGCTACGTTTCACTCAACGACGACCTGGTTAACGGCCGCCGGCGCAAAGCAGCTAAAGATGCCAGCAAGCCTTGCGAGCCCTTGCCGACGGAGGAAGACCGGACGCTAGAAGATCTTCTTGCGGAAGGTTTTGTGCTGGACGAATGGGACGGGTGAGTGGCGCATCCAGTCATCCTAGACTTGGGCTAATGGCTTGACGGAAGGAAAACCCCCACAATATATCGCTCAGAGGAGGGATATTGCTTCGTCGCTTTATGCGGCCAGCCCCGGGATGCGGCGGGGTCGTCTTGGTCAAGAGAAGTGGCTGAGCCCACTGCGAACCTCATGCGCGAGGCTTCTTTGGCGATGTACGAGCAGCAAGACCCCGTTTTCAATGGCATCTACTATGGCCGACGTTCGGATCGTTGGAGGGCCCCGCGGCCAGCATACGCCCGGCGAGGGAACCATCGCGCCGCCACGGTGGGCGTGGCTATGGGAGGCGGTAGAACTGAGCCCACGGCTTTTACTGCCAAAGATGCCATCAATTCCGCCATCCTCGCTGCCCTCTTGCTATCCCTGCCCTTCCAGCGAATTGCTGGGTTTGCCAATTGTAGGCTGTGTCTCGTGTTCAGCCCCATCACTGACTGAATCTTCACAGGCATGTTCAAACAACTGGCCACGGGGCTTCATTCGTATTATAGCGATACGATGGATCGACTTTTTGCAGAGATGCCTCGACTTCCGCGACCCTTTCCCTCGAAGACCTCCGTTTTCCCTTCCTTCACCTTCAACTTTGGGCCCCAGACGGTTACCAAGCGCCACCTCGACTTGGCCAATTTGGCCTGGGGCTGGTGCTTCATCACGGCACTCGGCTGGTTCGATTATAACAGGGGGGGGGCATTTGGTGCTGTGGGACCTCAAGCGGGTGATCCGATTTCCTCCAGGGTCGACGATCGCCATCCCTTCCGCCTTATTGCGGCATTCGAACGCAGCTGTTCAGGCGGGGGAGGTTCGATATTCGTTCGCTCAATTTGCATCTGGCGGCATATTTCGCTACGTAGAGAGCGGCTTTATACTCACTGAGTCCATTCGATGTCGCGCGGCGGGAGTGTCGGACGTGGAACGTGTGGTTTTGCAGGAGGGCCAGTTGGATCGGTTTCTTCAGGGACTTCAAATGTATAATCGATATTAGTCATGTATATTACTCATAAGCGCTTCTTCCTCGGCCGCCACTTAAGCGCCAGCGAAAGCGCCAGCGAAAGCGCCAGTGAGGTCACGACACTGCCCAGCGGCACGTGCTCTCTGACCGCTCGTTTACCCATGTCGTGGCGAAAATCTCGCAACAACAGGAGACCCCGCTCTCCTTCTCCCAACGACGGCGCGCATGTCATTCGACTTCACACCGGCTCTATCCCTTCCGTTGTCAATGCCCCCATTGATGCAGGCATTGAGAGAATGTCAGCCGACAAACGACGGACTATCTCAGAAGCCATCCCTGCTTTACCTCCGTCTCCCCTCAAGCGGCTTCGTGTGGCAGCCTTGGCCCCTGTTGCTACCTCTACGGTGGATATAGAGGGCGACAGCTACCGGATGGGAGTCGGGGATGACGATTGGGAGGATGGACAGGCTCCCTTCCGCAGCGACCCAACGCCTCGTGTTCTTCGACCAGCGGTGAGAGACCCAGCTCATTTTCACTTTCCCATTCTGAAGCAGTAGCAGGACTATACCTTGCGGACTTGGATGCTCAAACATCGCGACGAGTACTTGAGGTTAATGCTGTGGCACGAAGGCAGGGGAGCTTCATTACCCTCCTGCCCAGACTGTCAAGAAAACGAGCCCGTCTATCGATGTCGTGATTGCTTCGGAGGTGCCATGAGATGCGGCTCTTGCTGTGTCCGGGCCCATCGAGAGAATCCCTTCCATACAATCGAGGTGCGTCTTCTTATCCTTGCAGCGATGGGCTTTGACCCGTATGGTTAGTTTTGGAATGGTACTTGTTTTGTGCGGCACTCGTTAAAGTCCCTGGGCTTGCGAATTCAATTAGGGCACCCACCTCTTCAGGAATGCGATAGACCAAACCCGGCCAGGGACGACTTCGTTCTCCTTCACTGCGGGGGCATTCACAACATCTCAGTCGACTTTTGCGGGTGTCATTTGTCCAGTGACCCATGTTACATCCAACTTCTGCGAGTTGGCATGTTCCCCGCCAGTACCGACACTCCTCGAACCTGCGCAACGTTCTCTTGCCTCGATCAATACCACTCCCTCACTCTACAAGGCAAGATTACGGGTTACGACTATTATAAGTCGTTAGAGGGGTTAACCAATGCAACGGGCCTCAAACCGCCCGATCGATATCAAGTTTTTCTTCGCATGGCCCGACAATACCGGCACCTCTTATCGCTCAAACGGGGCGGCCGTGGATATGATGGGCGAGGAGTCCTTGGAACCACTCCCGGGGAGCTAGCTATCCGATGTCCTGCATGCCCCCGTCCAGGAATCAATCTTCCCAAAGATTGGGCTCGTGCTCCTCCTTCTCAAGCGTAGGCTATCTATCTTTCGGGGGTTATGCCTTACTTATGATGGGCTTCGCAGGGGGCTCTATGTCTTTTTCCTCGCAATCGACGCCTGCTTTCGATTGAAACGGAGGGCGTTCTCAAACGAGATTCGGGACCCGGCTCTTGGAGACGGTTGGTCCTATATAGTGGAGTGGGCGCCTTACAAGTCGCACTTGTTAGCCACAGGTGACCAGCCTGAAGAGGTTATATATGCTGTTGTTCCCGTTTTCTTCGACTGACCCCCTTTTTTCGGCAGATCAACACCTGCACTGGCCTGGCGGCGCTCGACTATGCTAACACCAAATATTCCCGTGGCTACAGCGCCACCGGTGTTGGCATGGGTGTTTGCGCTCGTCATGAATTTGTTCAGCCAAACGGAGTCGCAGATCTTCAAGCTGGGGAGCGGTGGGTGCTTTCCGTTTGTTCTTTGTATCCTGAAGGAACTGACTACAAACAGCCATGCGAACATGGACTACATTCTGGCCTCAATCATTCGCCATCTTCACCCGTTTCTTCGGAAAATGATTTCCTACGACATCGCCTGCCAATGGTGGAAGAAGTTATTTGAGAGACTTCGAGCCCTTCCCCCGATGCTTCGCCTCCATCTGGTACTGGACGTTTTCCTCAAGCTTTTCATATTCGTCGTACCCAAACTGCACATTCTGGGGCATGCCACCGCTTGCCAGCTCCTATACTCTCTCAACTTTGCACTTGGAAGCCGTCAAACGGATGGGGAAGGCATCGAGCGGCCTTGGAGTATGATTGGGGGAGTGGCGGCAAGCACCTGCGTCAGTGGACCTGGCGCTAGGTTGGATCTTTTGGACGACCATTGGTCGTATTGGAATTGGAGCAAGTTGATTGGGCTTCGTAAGTAGCTTATGCTCTTAATGATGCCTGTGCTAATCTTTATCCAGCTAAAATCATTCGGCGACGTCTGGACCAGGCACTGCATGAACAAGTTGTGCAGCGAGAAGCTTTTGACGCCTTTTCGCTGCAGCAACAGGAGCGAGTGTCCGTTTGGAAGGCCATGGTGCATGACTTCGAAGCAGACGGGACCAAGCCCAACCCATATGAGGCGAAGATTGATGGTCAGTTTATTGTGCTGAGTCTTTCGTTGATTGACCGACCTCTCTCAGGCCTAACGGAGGCTCAGGTCCGTGAGCAATTCGAAGAAGAGGAGGATGCCCAGATTGCGGCTGGCAAGCGCCGTATACATGATGTTGGTCCGGTCAGCTTTTTGTCTGACCTTCTTGATGTCGAGAGCGAACAGTAAGTTCCAACTCCCGTTTTTACCTGCATTCTTTAACGGGCTCATAGACGGCGAGTGGCGGGCTTGGCGGAGCTCAAGAAAGCAAAATCGACTTCCATGAAAATCAATCTGCAACGTCTGCGACGAAATCTCAATAAACGAATCGGAGCGATTCAAAAGTTGCAAGCGACTTACATGCCCAGCTCATTGCTACGCCTGCGCGAAACGCAAACGTCCGACAACGAAGCCCTGCCGGAGAATGTACCGTTATTCCCGCCTTCTGCTTTAACGATTGGTGAACGCGAAGCGGGATGTCTATCCGGGTTACTGGAAATGGAAAAGGCTATGCGGGAGGCCCAATGTCGGGCGGCACTGGTCGGCCTACAGAACCAGCTCCTTATCAAGTATCGACTGTTGCTTTATAAAACGAACCACTCTCGTAACCAGGCGATGAACACACAATCCCGGGCGCTCGTGGCAAGGAACGAAAGTCAAGTTCTGCTACATTCGAAGAAATATCAAGCTGCGTGGCGGGCTTTGGTGCTTATCGAAGGCGGCCGGGAAGAGGCTGTTGGGTGGAAACGGCTCCGACAAGAAGATATACGATGTCTAGAAGACCCAGAGCACATTGTGAAGAAGGACCTGAGGGGACAAAGAGCCGAAGCACGCCGAGCGCGGAAGGAAGCCGAGCTTCGTGCTGTAGGTATCACTCCCTTAAACATCCATCGGGTCCAAGTCGAGGGCAAGTCGGATGAGGAGGAAGAGGGTGTTACTGCCGTTCCTGGACCTGCACTGCCACGTTCGAGAAAATTGCCCATCCAGAAAGGAACAGCGATCTGACATGGAGAAAGCTGTCGGGTTATATCTTGGATCTGGACCATGGCAGGCACGACCGGGTCGGATCTTGAAATGGAAGAAGGTCAGTTTGGGCTCTTTCTCCGTCCCCAAAACAGCAACTAACTTCTTTCTTTAGCCCTGCGCATAGAGTGGGCTAAAGCGTACGCTCGGGTAAGGCGATGGGACGAGGAGGTGATGCTGTTGCAAGAGGAATGGCGGCGTTTGCCCGAATCCTTTGCTTACGAGGAGCAACTGTGGGCGGATCGTGCCATTGCCGTGCCTGTGGGCGAAATTCCTGCCGCTGATGCTGAGGGAATGGTTGCCTATGCAGTCAAGCATGTGGCTTTGTACCGAGGCCTCGCCCAGAGAGCCGAGGTGATTCGCACACAGGCTAAGCTGAGGAAGGGCCAGCGACAGGAGCAATACCCGGAGGTTTTGATGAGCTGGGGCTCTTTGAGCCAGGAGCCGACCCATGATGACTTTGATGTTGATGGGGAGATTGAGAGGGACGGTGACGATTTGGAGGATGGAAACGTCACGGACGAGAACCTGCTGTTGACGGGGGAGGTGGATGATTGGTGACCGGGCGGGCCAGTCGGGCCAGTCGGGCCAGTCGGGCATCTCGGACTCATCGGAAATATCGGACTTTTTGCCAATTAATGAGTTTTTTTGTAGCTAAATCACAGAGATCAATATGACCCTATTTGGTGGTGATGCCATCATTTGTTAGCGTCGGGCCTAGTGATCCCATCATTGGATACGATTTATTTTTGCTGCTGTGACAGCCAGATAGGGTAGTCCACATCTTTTGCATTACAGTGGTGGACAATTATCCACATCTTTCATGAAAGACTGGGTATATGGGGTGTGCTTGGTACGTGCCGTTTTTCCTACTTCCGCTTTATTCTGACTTGTTTCAGCGTCATCCCGGGTGTCACACGTTCCTCATCACTCGAGGGCATGCTCGCCTCCGACTAGACGCGCCAGCGACATCGTCGCCTCAAAATCCGTGGTGCCCCGATTCGCCCACGTGTACATTATGTAAGATGTCGGAGTTGTTGTCGCAGCTGGTTGTCACGGTCGTCGTGTACTCGTGCAATGTTGTTAACCCCCACTTATTTTGTACTGCCTCCGGGCCCCAAATATATTCAATGTGTTTCATTGCCTTCCCTATTTGTGTGATTTTTATAAGAAAACTTGAGTCCCGGCCTTTGTGTAGCTGATTTCCCGTGAAATTTGAGCTGGAGTCTTTGCGACGCGTAGTCACGTTGTCATGTACCGGTTACTCAATGATAACCTTCCGTCCTCTTGGCAATATGATGTAATTCCACTGTCGTTCGCGTGGTTTTGGTGGTCTTTTGGACCTACGAATGCCATCTTAGGGTTCTTCCATTTCCGATGCCTGATCCTCTTGATCCGGGTCCAAAGGCTCATCACCCGAGTCTGATAGTGGTGTTAGAGGTGATCCCAAGTCCTCGGCACCTCCGGCATCCTTGGCATGGTTGATGCGAAGCTTGATTCCATCAAACTGGAAGTCTGGGCCATGATATTCCAGATCTTGCTCAGGTTCAGCCTCTAACTCATCTAGTATCTCCTTTGATGCATCTACTAGGTCTTCAATATTGGTTCCCACGGTCAGTTTTCTCCTCTGATGGAAGGGGATGACCCTGAATCGGCCTATCTTCTTCTGCCAGACTGCTCCATTGAGTTCAGCCACAATATAGGCTCCTCCTTTAGTCCTCCTTATGACTGCTAAAGGTCCAGCCCATCGACTTCTGTTGCAAGCACTGGTAGAGTCTTCATCTTCTGAATTTCTGACTAAGACTATATCCCCAGGTCCAAATTTGTAATCCTTGATGATCTTCTTGTACTTTTCTGCATACTCTTTTGCAGATAGAGTCCTTTCTTTGTGCATTCTTTCCTTCATTTCTTCCACATGAGTGACATGTTTGGCCAAGGCTCTGGCTCTCAGTCCAATGAGCTCATCAGTTGAGATGATGGCATCAGGAAATTCTGATAGCCAGGTGATTTCTGCTATGTCCAGAGGCAAAGTTGGGTGTGCACCACAAACTGCAAAATATGGAGAGCAACCCATTCCTCTCCTGATGGTAATCCTGTCTGCCCATAAAACTTGATGGAAGAACCAGTACCACTTGTGTAGGTCTCCTCCAGTAGCCTTGTATAGAGACTGCCTCAAGTCCCAATGTCCTCTTTCAATAATTCCATTTGCTTCGGAATTGTAAGGTGCAATCTTGATTCCTTTGATGCCATACTTGTGTTCCAGCCATTTGAGAGCAGCTACAAATGGAGTCCCATTGTCTGAGACAATCTCCTTTGGACAACCCCATCTGCAGATGACTTCTTCCAGTAAAAACAGCCCAATAGCCTTGGCATTTTGCTCCCTAATAGCCCTTCCCTCTACATATCTGGGAAGAGCACATCTGGCATTTACCACAAAATGACATCCATGTGACTTTTCAGACATGTACATCACATCAGTGTGAATTTTCTGGAATATTCCTGGAATTGCTGCAACCACTGGTGGAGCTTTAACCAGATTAAGTCTTCTTTTCTGGCAGAGAGTGCAGGTCTTGATATACCACCTCACATCTCCCTCTAAATCAGGCCACCAAAATCTCAATTCCAATAGAGACTTTGTTGCAAATCCTCCTTTATGTCCCAGAGCATCATGGGCAGCTCTCATCATATACATCCTATATGGTTTCTCCACCACTAGTTGATGCATAGATTCACTTCCTCTCCTGTATAATTTTCCTTCTTTACTCAAGAAGAATCTTGAGGCCAACTTGACAAATCTCTTGAACTTCACATTATCATCCATTCCTGGAGGTCTCTTCAAGGTGTCTTGCAGCCATTCCTTGATTAATCCAATTTTGCCTTCCAACACTTTAACACTCTTGGATCTGTGCTCTTCATCATAAGGCTCCCTTTCAGATTCATCTTCCTTCAGAATTTCATCTGGCAATAATTTATCCTCATGGAGATCAGCTTGCAAATAGGCAGGCATTTCCAGTCCCTCTGCCCTATAAGCTTCCTGAACCAGGATATTGTAAGCCCTGTTTTCCTCTTTGGCTTGTATGAGCTCCACTTCAAAGTCCTTGATAGATCTAGGAAGGTGTTCCATTTCCTGGACATAACCACCTCTAGCATCAATATCAGTCTTGAAGTCATCAAAATCCAAAGGTTGATCTATGTCATAGTCCCAGTCTTCATGTTCTTCTGGAGGATGGCTTGGATCAAAACCATGCTCGTCAGGAGGCCACTCCTCATCTCCTGTTTGTACTTCTCTTCTAGACAACCCATCAGGAGGGAATGTTGCTCCCTTGACATGCTTGAGCTTGAACCTGAACATCAAAATCTGCTCAATCCATCTGTTGATTGTTGCATTTGGACCCATTCCAGGGTTGTTCAGCATTCCTTGAATGTACTTGGCATCTGTCTCAATAACCAGTCTTCTGTATCCTAGTAACCAGTACTTCATAGCTTCCAGTGCTCTCTTGAGACCATAAAGTTCCCTCTTTGGCTGAGAGAAGTCTGCCTCCCTCTTGTTCAAAGGTATTGATGCAAATTTGGCATAGTAACGTCTCTTTGGGTCCTGTGGGTCACATTGATAGATCTGAAGGCCCACTGCCATCCAGGATGTATCAACTGCCATGACAATGTCAGAGTCCCAATCATAGTTCAAAGGCTTGAGGTTTGGTGCATTCATCAAAGCCTCCTTCAGCTTGACCATAGCCTTCTCTTGAGCTTCTCCCCAGACAAATTCAACATCCTTCCTGACTAGCTTCTGAATTGGTCTTGCCAACAGGGAATAGTCTTTGATAAACATCCTGAGCACTCCAACAGTACCCAGAAATTTCCTGACATCAGAGGCATCCTTCAAAGGTCCCCATCTGGCAATCACTCCAACTCTGTCTGCATCTGCTGTTCTCCCTTCAAATGAACATAGGTGTCCAACCACATGGAACTTTTCTGCACACAGCACTGACTTGGTGCCTGAAAATGTTCCTCCACAATATTTCATCCTCTGAACAACTCTGTTCAAATTTTGGAAATGTTCCCAGACAAATCTCCTGATTCCTGGGTTCTCTGGTATGGGTTCTGGCGTTCCATCTGGTAATTCATACCGGGTACCTGGTCCTCTCAGTGGTACATCGTCAATGTAGGGCTGTGTGACATGTGGAATTTCATCTTGCAGGATGTATGTCACATCATCATGGAAAATTGGAACACTGTTGGTACCACCCATAGGCAATTTGACCAGCCTCATGGCTCCAAATGGTGTTTGGAAAGTGGTGAAGTCCCTTGAGCTCTCAGCAATATCTCTGGCATCATATCCAGAATAAAGGTCCAAACAACCACCACATGCCCTTCCTGCAAAGTGGTTGGCTAATTCTTCTGTTGCTGGTGGAATGCCTGAATGTGCAATTGTGACAGCATTCAAAGGTTCCAGAGCATGAACCAGTCTGATACTCTTGCCATCCTTCTTCAAAACTCCAAAGAACTTGCTCCTGTAAGAGGCATTGGATGGCTCATAGACTCCAGCATCTAACTTTTTCTTAATGACCTTGCAGAATTCCTCTAATTGACCTCTTGGGATTGGGATTGTCCTCTCAACCCAAGTTTCATGCTCAATCACAGGGAACTCCACTGGTGGGAAGAAGTCATGGCGGAAATCTCCTCGCTCATTCTCTACCCACGCAAATCCATACTCATGATTCCCAACAAGCTCATGCATCAGCTTGATCTCCTCAGGCTGCAAGAAATCTGCATGTCTCTTCTCCATGTCTTCTGCCCTTTCCTTGGTATATCTCTTGCCCTCCTTGTACCCTTGTGGCCTTGGGTTCAAAGGTGGCATATCAGCTAGAGGATCACCCTTGATCTCTCTCTTGATCCTATATCTCTCAGGTAGCTCTGTGTAAACAGGCCTGACTTTGAGTCCAACTGGCTTGTACTTCTTCCCAACAAATACAGAAGCCACC